TGTCAACAAAGCTCTGTGTAGGCTTGTGGTGGTTCCCTAATGGCATTGGGTGTGTTCATCCTGCATGAGTTGGGCCCATTGGTCCACCTAAACAACTAGTTACCACAATGTTGCACTTCTTTATAGACATTTTCACCCATTCAGGGACTCCATATACACCAATAACAATGGGTTATTTTAGCTGGATAATGCTCCCTGTCATTGAACACAAATTGACCAGAATAATTGAGCATTTATGATATTATGGACTTTACCCGGTTGGAGGGTGAAAATGATAGTAGGCAACTATTCCAATGACTTTTGATATGTCAGTGTATTAAGGTTTCTGCTTTTCTCATAGTTGCCTACTGACTTTACTCTAATTCCTTCCCTCAGCATGACTTTATTCATTTTATGTATTAACAAACTAAATATTTGTGGCAGCAGGGAAAAAAATGATGATTAATCACTAACTTTCAAAAAATTTTACTTAAAATGTCTTTTAGCAAATTGTGGCACTCAGTTTAAATGTTGGGTATTTGAAATCAGGAATTGTCAGCAGTCAGGATTTAAAGCAAGCTTTACTGACAAAATAGGGTTATTTTATGTATAATGTAAATGTATATGCTTAAATTTTCAATATCAGTCTATTTTTAGAGAAATGACAAATGTAGAATTTTATGATGAGATTTTTATTTTGTGAACCCTCCTTAATACTTTTGCTACCAATAACTACTAATTTATTATCTATTTGCTACTCTATAACTTTGCCTCTGTATTGCATAAATAAAATATAACATTTTAAAATAATCAATATAAAGCCATTATTTTACAACTTTTGAACAATTGGTGTCAAATGACAACAAACATCGGCACCATCATTATATTTATTACTAGCAGTAGAGCCTGGCGTTGCCCGGGGATGTAACAGTAAGAGATAGATCAAGTATCAACCATCATAAAGACTGAAAAATAAAATTGATAAAGATTATTGTTTAAGGTTGATGGACATGCATATCTTAATTAGTTTCTTTTTTTTTTTTTACGAATTGGTCAAACCCAAACTTCAATCGTTATGAGTCTACCGATTGAATAGAATTTTATTATAAACAATTGTCTTGTAAATGGAATTTTAAAGTATTCTGAATGTAAAAATAAAGAAAAAAGTGTGTAAGACAATAAGAAAACACCACCTGCCAAAAAAAAAAGTGAAGTTTTGTTGAAATTGGTTGAAAAATGTGGAAATCCGATCCCATATATAAACGAACACACACACACAAACAACCTGGGTTTTAATAATAATAAGTATAACTCGATATGAGTTGTCCCCTTTCATTCATTTTTCATAGCGATGCTTTTAATCATGTTTTCAAATTGATTTTTGCAAAACAATTGTGTTTTCCAATTTTGGCACTGTCAGAAACCACAAGGTAATTTTACATAGTCCTGTGAAGTTTTGTAAAAATCAGTTGAAAAAAAATGTCTGGAAACCGATCCAATATATAAACGTACAGACACACACACACACACACACAACCTGGGTTTTATAATAAGTATGATTTAACTGAATCTTACTATTTCAAATCTTTGGCAAATTCATTTAATTCATTTGTTTATGTCTTTGTTATTCTGGCCATAATATTTACTTTGAAAATAAATCAGCAAAGCCTTAAGAAAATTTACAGATCTGAACATAAAAAATTGGAAGTAAACAGATTTTTGTTGCTATTATTTTAACAGTTGCTGTGTAGCTGAATATAGAGCATGTCTGTGGATTGTTTGCAAAACCAAATAATGTTTTCTTTAATTATAGTTATAAGTATATAACAAGAAAGGATAATTTAAAAAGATGGACAATGTTCACCATAAGCAGCAAATTCTTATTTCACCAAATAATTAAAATTTTGACCATTACTCTGCTTAATTTTTGCACAAGTATTGGAACTCAAGTTGTTTAAATGACTGCTTAAAATGCATGGCTCTAATAAATAGATAAAGAATGACATTTCAATGCAACTAATCTAGTAGAATGGATAGAATTCTTGAATATAATATTTTTTTTAATCATTTTACTACAAGCAAGACAATAAAGCCACTAATACACTAGGAATTACTGAGTGTTAGAGAATATGAGAAAAAACACTATTAAGGAGAGATAATGAGAAAAAGACAGTAGATAATGATTGATATTGCATTTCAATTTTTGAAGTTCAAAGTTGACTTGAGTTTCATAAATGCAAGAAAAGAAACTGTTAACATAGTACTCACAGATGCAGCTAGCCATTTCATTTAAAATGATGAAACCTTACTGCCAATCAAGCACTGCACTTAAATTCATAAAGTCTAGGTACCATAAAGTCTAGGTACCATAAAGGAAAGTTTGTCAGAACAATTACCATGAAAGTATTTATAGAAAAGGTACAGAGAAGCCACATTATGGATATGGGAAAGTGACTAAAGCCAAGATGCCAGGTCATAACCAATAACATTGCAGATACTTCTTTGTAAGAATCTCTAAATA